CCGCCTTTCAGAAAAGGGGTTCGAAAAGAAAGGCTCTCACAGTTTGGACTCTACCTACGGTTCTGAATCTAGTCTCACAAGTGCAATATGAAACTGATAATCACCAAAGAGTCCAATTCGGCAAATCATTTTGGAAAATCAATTTTATATCAAATAATGCCAAAGTTAGACTGCTTTGCCAGATTACAGAGTCGCCACCTAAATATTTTATTTTTGTAGAAATTTCGGAAACCCTGACTCGTGCTAAAGGCCACGTGTCCGTCATCACCAAAGTTGCCTCGGCTCGGGAACTCAGGTACGAGAGGTGAAGGTCCTGAAATGAGCACCCCCGCTTGCCCGATCAAAGATCGGCCTCTACTAATCATGATATAATGTTTTATAAACCTTATGTGTTCTTATTCTGGTTATTAGGCTAACTATACTCTGTGACGGACACAAGCAAGTATAGACTAGTCGCAAGACTTGGAACAATTCAACTTCATGTTTGTTTGTGAAAATGGTTTGAATTTGCCACCCTCAAGTGGGCTTAAAGACGCGGATTTGCCACCTCAAGTGGACTTAAAACATGATTTGCCACTTCACAAAGTGGGCTTAAAACTTATATTCGTTGAATTATTCCAATTCAAACAACAAAGCATTCATCCACAGGCATTCATGCAGTTTAGCATTTAAGCACATAGCTTCATGGCAAGCATGCGAAACATGGCAATATGGCAATCACACTCATACAAGTATGCTAAAGCATAAAACTTACCGAGTACTCCAAGCCAAAACAAAAACTAGTTAGAAAGATGCATGATCCTAACTATACAAGATGCCTAATACAACACATGCAATGATGCAATTAATAGGCTCGGCTACTAATATGGCATTTGCAACACTTTGATAGCATGCTTCGAAACACGTATTCAAAGAAGTATTGAATTAACAATGATGCGCCGAGCCTTGGTGCATGCAAGACAAATTAGTGGATGCAAGCATGCAAGCATAAGATATGCTAATTGAAAGTGTCCCTAATCTAACCATCGCAAGCGGTTATATAAAGGGAGAAAGGCGCGGGGTTGGAAGACATGCACACACATACACGTACGCTTATTACAACATTATGCCCTCACGAAGGAAGGTCCGAATGAATAGGCTAACTAGCTACGCTAATTAAGCTATCTATTACAGCACGAAAATAATTAACTATTCTAGTTGATTAATTATTACAAATCAAATTGAATAACTAGCCACGCTAAGCTAATTAAATATTACAAATTGGAATTAATTAACTAGTTACACTAACTAATTAAACAAAGAAAGTAAATGGACTTGAGGAGTGAGGGATGCATGCATGCTTGGCTTCTTTGCCCGAAAATGCCATCGCCTTGCCTTTTGCAGCCTCTGTTTGCACTAGCTTGAACACCAAAAATTGTGCCAACTCCCAGAACACCTCTGCTCCATCTCAGGAACACACAGAGCAACCTTCTTTCACTAGTGGCCGGTCGAACACAAATGGTGGCTCTCGGCTACCATTAGTGCCCGGTCGGCTACTTTTGGTGGCTGTCGGCCACCTCTTCCCTGGACTTCTCTTTTTTGCTGCAACAGAGAGCAAACAGAGGCAAAACAATGTATTCTCAAGGAGTATGTGTACTATTACCTTCCTTATCATTACACAAGTTCAAAGGAGTGTAATTCTTGGCTCCAAAACCATCAACCAAGCATTTTCAATGCATGATAGCCAAAGAACCAAGAAGTACAACTTCATTGTACGGACTTCAAAAGCTAATTTTTACCACTGAAATAACTCTGATTTTCAGTGGTTAAAAGGGCCAAAAAGTTTGATTTAAAGGTGGTAAGAAATGGCACAAAAGGCTTCACAAGCCAAAGAACAAAAAAAAGAAGACAACCCCCTAACTCACCAAGACTTAAACTACCATTTTCAAACCTTAAAAATAGGGTTTTTTGTAGTTGAAAAACCAGGTCAAAACAGTACAAAAAGATAGTAACTCAAGTTATGCAAGGCAAGTTTAAAAGGTAAGTCTTATACCTTTTGAAGCACAAGACAATTTCAGGCACAAATTCAAACTCAAAACCCTTTCTAAAGCTCCAAGAAGGCCTCCTAGAACCTCAGCTCCAAGGGTCTATGTCCAAAAGTGTAGAGAAAGCTAACTACAAAGCACAAAATAAGAAGAGAGAGAGAGAGAGAGAGAGAGAGAGAGAGAGAATTTTGATCCAAATTGTCTAACCCTCCAAAATGGAGGAGAGACCCCCCTATATATAGAAAAACAAGCTTAGAGCTTGTATTTATTCCTTCATACACGTGTATGGAGATGCACTTCAGTGAACAATAGTTGGCACAACTGGCAAACATATATCTGAAAAAGGAGAAAAAAGGCCGTCGGCCATCAAAGTGGCCAACCGGCCACCACTGATGGCTAACAGGCACAAGCCATGGCCGATGGACTGTGGAGATGGCCGACAGGCGACCCTCTCCTCCAGACTTGAAGCAACAAGCTCTTAGTCCTTAACCAAGCACAAAACAGACAAGTTGAGAGCCTCAAAGGCAAGGTGCTCGGCCGAGAACTTCTAGCACTCAAAACGAACATAAGCTTACAAAACCATCGGGGGTTCAAACGATGTCATCCAAGTCTTAAGGACGGTTCAAAATGGGGTGTCTACAAGTGTGTCATTTTTAAGTCATGCGTTGAGTAAAGATGGGTATCTATGGATAGCACGAAAGTGGTGGCGATTGTTGATTGGCCACAACCTACTTCTGTAAGAGAGGCACTGTAACACCATTTGAGAATCTGATTTGCATTACCCTATCCATTATCATCATCCATTTCCTTATAAGTGAAATTGTAGAAGCTAAATCATTAACTTAAATATATACTAGGAGTTATCTCTCATGTATACATATGATGCACCAATAATTACAATTGATAAAGGAGCCCTTAGGCTAACATTTACATAAATCAAAAGGGTTTAACCCTTGATACAAAACAATGGCATTTCGCCTACATATAGAAGGCCCCTTGGCCAAAAAACTGAAAGGTGCTTCTCAACTTAGTAAATTTTCCATGCCCACATTTAAAAAAGATTCAACAACGTAGGATGAACATTGTGGAGAAGTGGTTTGGAAATACTCTTCTGATCCTGGGGGACACTAGTGATCCACTAAAAGTCACCTGAAAAGGAATAAACACTCTGGTCGGGGGTGCCGGAATTACCACTCCGACGGGCAAGTTAGTTTCTACACTCAGGGTTACTTGTATTCTAGGTTAAGCACAATAATTCTCACATACCTTTCTTTGATTGTTGTTCCTTTATTTATACTCATTTCTAGGGCCTCGGGGCCTGGTCTACTTTTCGCTCTCAAACTGCTTATTTATTTGGCCCCATAGTTACTCAGCCTGTTAATTGTAGTCGGCCTCCTAATCGTACAGGTTAGAGCTGAACAAATGTCCATCCTTCGAAGCGTACGCTTCTGACTCTACCCATTATTTGGCTCCCACAATTGCCCCCCAAACTCCCCATTGACGGCAGTTAATTGGTGTGTTTGGTTTCGAATTTGAAAAGTCAAGAGAAACATAAATTAGGCGGCTTCACCTATCCTAATGTGTATGTCAGAACGCAAGCCTTTCGGTCATCATTATACGTTCCCGCCTCATTCGTGCATCTTTTACACTTATTACGATTTGAAACTCCAGTCTCTTCGAATGCATACTTTTTGAATATTAGGGCCTCCTGGATTGCCAGCCGAAATTCCTCCTCTACCTCACGTCTTCTGCAACTTCTTCCCGTCTCTCCGTGTCTCCTTTGCCTCTCGTAAGTTTTCTTCTCCTCTTTGTAATCCTATTTTCTGTGTTCATTTTTTATTTAGAATACTCGAATCCTTACTAGAATGGCAAAGCATTTAAAAGAACTCCTTTTCGAGGGTCGTATCTCTGGGTTCCGGAGACATTTCTCTATCCCTGATGATGTCCATATATCTCTAGTGATGGACAATACCCTTGATATGGAGAGGGAGGACCAAAATACCATCGTCTTTCCTCTCCTATCCATTGCGGAGGGCGGGGTTCGCTTTCCCTTGCACCCATTTCTTAGGGTCGTTCTTCACCATTGGGGTCTGATTCCTTCTCCTTCTCAACCCAATGTGAATTTCTTTCGAATCATAATGGGAATCGTAGAACTGAACCGGCACCTTAGGATCAACCTTGGCGTTCCGGCGATTCGGCACTGCTACACTCTGGCCAAATCCTCCGGTCGACTCGGGCGCTACTTTCTCAAGGCCAAGGACACCGACCATCACTTGGTAACCATGCTTGCCAGTTCTAACAAACGAGTTGACCATGTCATGGTCAATGTCCGCGACAACTGGGAATTCGGCAAGGGTGAAGATCGCGTAGACCTTGCTCCCAAAAAAATGGGTGAACCAGGTGTCCGAGTAACTCCTTATGTTTCTTGATCTTTCTTTTACTCGACTTTCTCTTCAAGTCTAATCCTTCGTTTTTGTAGGAGGTAAGTTGAGGAAGATTCAGACTTCGGCTAACGACACAGTCCTTACGGAGATTAAGACTGCACTCAAGTATTTTGGCCATCCAAACGTACAAAAGCAAGGGAGAGCGGCCCATATACTTCTGCGGTACGAGCCTACTTATACTACGTTCTCGACTGCGAACAACATCCCGATCCCATCCGGTGAACACCACCTTACGGCTCTTATCTTCCCCAGCTTCAAGACCCTCAGACAAATTGGTTTCGAAGCTTCTGATTTAGAGCAAGACGCAGAGACGGTGGTGGAGGTAGTTGCCGAACCAATGAAAGAGTTTGTTGCGGAGGCTGAAGAGGTCCACGAGGCTCTAAACTCGGCGTTTGAGGTAGCCGGTTTTAACCAGCCTGACTCACCGTCCACTTCAAGTCGGGCGGAGTTTTCCTTCGGAGATATTTTTACAGATTTGGGAGATCTACCCGGCTATTTTTTTGAAGGCATGGCTGTGGAAAATCTAACGTAGATGGCGCGAAATAGAAATGCCGAACGCATAGCTGTGCGACAGAAAACGGAGGCCAGCCATTCTGGGCCTGCCCCAATTGAATCTTCACAACCCGTTATGGTAAAAGAGACGGCTCAAGTTGTTTCAGCCGAGTTAGATAAGGTGGCCAAACAGCATATCCCTGAAGAAAGGCTGATACAAGAAGAGCAGAGCAAAAAACATACCGCCGAGGGAGAGGCCGGCTCAGAGGAGAGCCCTGCTGACAAATGGCCTCGTCTAGAGGAATCGGATGTGGTTGTTCCTTTCGTTATTCAACCGAAGATCAAAAACACGCCGATCTCCTCTGACGCGTCTGCCTTGAAGGATCCAGCTGTAGCGTTGAGCTTGGCTGCCGGCTGACAAGGCCACCTTTCGAGCAGAGCCGGATTTGGTAGTTATAGCATTAGTTGCCCAATTGGCCCTTCTTGTATGTGACTTGATCATTTTTACTCCTTGTTTGGTTTGGTTTGCATACGATATTTCTCGGTATGTGATGATTTTGACTCCTTGTTTTGCAGACGGTTGGAAGGATAGTCGAACTAGGCCGCCGCCAGCACGAAGCCATTGAAAGAATTGGCCACCTAAAGTCGAAAGCAGAAGGTGAGAGAAGCAGGGCCGAGTTCGAGGTGATGAGAGCCGTGATGGAAAGTGCTCAAGCCGAAGCTGAGAAAGAGAGGGCTCAAACTATTGACCGGCTCAGATCCGATGCCGAGGAGAGGGCGAACGCGAGCGAGGAATTGCTCAACTTAGCCAAGGAGGCGCTTGCTAAGATTAACGCTGAGTTGGAAGAGTTGAGGAAGGCCAAGGAAAAAGCCGACTCTGAGGCTTCTGCGGCGCTCGAGGTTGGAAAAAGCGCCGCCCTTAAGAACTACGTAGAAGAAGTCCCGAAATTTGAGAATCGGGGATTTAAACATGGGTGGCTCAAAGCCCTTGCTGCCGCTGGAGTAACATTGGCCAGGCCAATTCCATACGAGCAAGTGGACGTTGAGCCACTTGAGTCTGATCCCGGGGATTGATTTGGGAGACACAAGTTTTATTAAATATTTTCAATTTCAATGTATGTTTTTGTCTAGTAGATTTTCATCATTTTTGGATTTTCATATGTAAAATGTCCGCTGCTAGCGCCCAATTTATGAATGAAAATTTAATATTGTCCTCAAGTTACTGCTTGTATTGTTTGTTGTATGAGTACGTAATTAGGAGAATCTGCAATTAGAACAAAATTTCTTGATTACGTGAGACGGCAAACTTAGAAGCCGATTAAATTTATGGATCTGATTTAATCAACAAAATGATTTCATGAGGTGTCGAATAACACGAACTTATGAATCTTGTACTGATGAATTGATTCGTGGAACGGCTGGGGCACTCAAGCTGAATAGATTGATGAATCTGCCCTTGCCCCAGCTGATTCATGAATATTAAACACCGAATAACACGTTATGAATCTTGTACTTAAGAACATTAAACGTATGAATCTTGTATTGATGAATCGATTCGTGGAACGGTTGGGGCACTCAAGCCGACTACATTGATGAATCTGCCCTTGCCCCAGCTGGTTCACGAACATTAAACACCGAATAGTACGTTATGAATCTTGTATTGATGAATCGATTTGTGGAACGGCTGGGGCACTCAAGCCGACTAGATTGATGAATCTGCCCTTGCCCTAGCTGGTTCACGAACATTAAACACCAAATAATACGTTATGAATCTTGTATTGATGAATCGATTCGTGGAACGGCTGGGGCACTCAAGCCGACTAGATTGATGAATCTGCCCTTGCCCCAGTTGGTTCACGAAAATTAAATGCCGAATAACACGTTATGAATCTCGTATTTGATGAATCGATTCGTGGAACGGCTGGGGCACCCATGCTGACTAGATTGATGAATCTGCCCTTGCCCTAGCTGGTTCACGAACATTAAATGCTGAATAACAATGGCTGACAGGGCGATCAGGGCATATGACTTAGTCGGCGCCAGACTGTTGATATTTCAATATTAATGAGATTGCCTCGGAGGTGCTGCTTGCATAGGGAATAAATGGGCGTGTACTTTGTGAACGAGGGTCCTATTTATATGCTCAGTCAGCAACTCAGTCCAGCCCTTTGAGGAAGATTAAACAAGTGCGAATGTCACAAAGGCTTTTCTTCAACAGCAGAGGCGAAGCAAAGACGCTAGCTGAGCAGGGAGGAGCCATAAATCGAAGTGGTGATCCGTCACACACGGGGAGTAGGACTTCAAGGGATTGGGAGAGACACCAATCTCCTTGTCGTCGAAGTAGGTCGCCCAGGATGGATGAGTAGCCTCAGGGCAAAGCTCCTCAACCCAGTTCTGGAAGGGAATCCGACGCAACTCCATGCCCATTGAGTTTTGTTGTCTTTGTAGGGAATAGACCAATGACAGAGGCGGACTCAATCGTTCGAGATCCAAACGTGGTAGTCGAGTTTGCCCGAAAGATTTTTCCACCCGAAGTCCAGCAGTCGATGGTAGGTCGGCAAGACTTCGAAGTGTTTCACGAAGGCGTTCACGGGGCGGTGAAGGGGCTGTACACAACTTATGAAATCGGCATGCGTCTTTGCGTCGCTCGGCGTGATATAGAGCAAAGAGATGAACGCATTCGGAAGTTCGAAGCTCGTGTGGAGAAGGCCGAGCGTGAGCTAAGGAAAATTAGGTCTGCCGAGTCTCAATCAGCTAGCCAATCCAATCCGATTGTGGAAGAGAGAGTGACTCAAAGGCTGATAAGTGATGCTATTGTCGATCGAAACACGGCTAGTATGTTCGCGATTGAGACTGCGAGTGCGAGGGCCGCAGCCTATGAAAAAGGTTTTCATGATGGCCGAAAGATCGGAATTCAGAAGACCAAGGAGAAACTCGCCAAAGAGGTTTGTCGATGTGAAAATCGCGATTTTAAGCACGGTTGGATCAAGGCATCTCAAGCCGTGGAAGTTCTCCGAGCGTCAGGCATTGATTCGGAATCGCCACTCTACCGACGAAAGCATTTTCCATTTTCCGCCTTTGAGGTTGAGTAGAGTGAGGATGAGGGCGACGCCGTATAAAAATATTCATTGTCATACTTAAATGCAGATCGCGTTCAAAACTATGTAATCATCGCCTGATTGAATAAAATGTTTGTATGTGTTTGCATGTGTTTTATTGTAACTTTCATAACTTTCATTATGACTTTCATTCAGCACACACGTGTTTGCATGTGTTTTATTGTATAAACATCATTCCAAATGTTTATATGTTTCGAAGTATAAAAGGGTTTTGTCGGCTCGAAATCAGAGCATTCTATATTAAGTATTTAATCGGCATCATTATGTTACGCACGGCCCGAAAATCCATGAAGGGCGCTCCGAATCCGGCGGCTTATTTGGCCGGTGGGGCTCTGAATCTGGAGGCTTTTATCGGTCCAAGGACGTCGTGCGCTGATGGGGCTCTGAATCCGGAGACTTATTTGGCCAATCGTGATATCCACAAAGGGCGCTCTGAATCCAGCGACTTATTTGGCCGGTGGGGCTCCTAATCCGAAGGCTTTTATCAACCCAAGGACGTTGTGCCCCGATGGGGCTCCGAATCCGGAGACTTATATTGGCCAATCGTGATATCCACGAAGGGCACTCCGAATCCAGAGGCTTTTATTGAAACACCCTTGAACTCGATTTTGAAGTAAGTACGTAACGATCTTTGTATTACAGAAAATGAGATGTACATGGCGAACCGTTCAGAACAAGTGTCATGCCCCATAAGTCGGGTCAATGATAAAATTTGTGTAAATGTGTGGAATTCCAAGGCCGTGGCAGACTCCTCCCTGACATGTCTTTGAGCCGATATGCCCCAACTCCTGTGATCGAATCAATCTGATAGCGATCGTCCCAGTTAGGACCCAATTTTCCATCAGCCGGTTTCTTGGCAGCTGGAAGTACCTTCTTCAGGACCAACTCTCCTGGTGTGTAGCGGCGCAGCTAAACACGTTGATTATATGACATGGCGAAATGGCCCTGTAGGCTAGTGACCTTCCTCCTCAGGTGATCCTTCAGTTCATAACAACTCTCAGTATCATGGCCATGGTCCTTGTGATACTCACACCGTCTATCCCGTCTTCTCATGTCGGGAGGTCCCACCATTTTCAAAGGCCACTTGATGAACGGAAGGTAAGTGGTACTGAGCGGAGGTAAGTCTTGAGGCTGTTGAAAGCGGCTTCGCATTCAGCGGACCATTCAAAAGCCTTGCCCTGCCGTAGTGTATGGGAGAATTGTCGACAGCGATTTGTAGACCGACTAATGAACCTGTTGAGTGCGGTGGCCATCCCCATCAACTTTTGAACCTTTTTTTACTGAACGAGGGGAGCTGAGTTCCAAGATTACTGTGATTTACCTCGGGTTGGCCTCGATTCCCTGGTGGTTGACAATGTAACCCAAGAACTTGTCGGAACCGATCCCAAACGCACATTTGGAAGCATTCAGCTTCATTTTGTATTTGCGTAAGATGCCAAACGTCTCTTCTAGATCGGCTAGATGGATTTTCTCTTCTCTGGACTTGACCACCATGTCATCAATGTACACTTCCATAGTGTGGCCGAGTTGCTCCTTGAATATAGCCGTGACCAGTCTTTGGTAAGTTGCCCCTGCATTCTTCAGCTCAAAAGGCATAACGTTATAGCAGTAGGTTCCTCTTGGAGTGAGGAATTCAGTTTTGATGCCGAATCATGTTATGATGTTTCTCCATTCAAAGCGTTTAATGTCGGCATCTTGTATATGTGTTAAAGCCTCCACTTCGACCCGTTTTGTGAAGTAATTTGTCGCGGTGATTAAGAATCGCTTGTTCCCTGGGGCCCTCAGCAATGGTCCTACGATATCAAGCCCCCACTGGGCAAACGGCCAAGGACTGGTGATAGAGCTTAACTCTTCAGTAGGCAGATAGGTTAACAGGGAGAAATTCTGGCACTGTTCACATTTTTTCACATAGCATTCGGCATCAAATCTCATTGTCGGCCAATAATACCCCTATGTTAAAGCTCTATGGGCCATAGAGCGCCTGCCAGAATGGGCACCATAACTTCCCTCATGTATTTTAGCAAGAAGCTCTTCGACTTTGTCAGGGTGAACACATTCCAAATATGGACCAGAGAGGGATTTTTTTATCATGCCTTCCTTGCGGATCCAAGTAGTATCGCAGGGCTTTGTTTCGCAGCTTGTGCACTTCTTTCTTGTCCTCTGGGAGCTGTTCGAAAGACAGAAATGCAGCAATGGGATCCATCCAACTCGGTCTAGATTCTATAACATTGACCTGAACTTCCTCTGAAGGGCCGATGCTCGGTTCTGGGATGAAACCTACTTTGATGGTCCATTTAATCTCTAAGTTAATGGCGGAGGCTAGGCAAGCAAGGGCATCTGCATGTGTGTTCGGATCACGCATTATCTAGCTCAATTCATGATGGTCAAATTTTGCCGGTAAGGAGTTGGTCGTCTTCATGTAAGCCGCCATACGATCGTTTCTTGCCGCATACTCCCCCTTGAGCTGATTGATCACCAGTTTTGAATCGCAAAATACAAGCAAACACCGAGCACCCAGAAGATGTGCATTCCGCAAACCAGCTAGAAGGGCTTCGTGTTCAGCCTCGTTATTTGATGCTTCGAAGTCGAGTTTGACGGCCTGCTCAATTATTGCACTGTCGGGAGCCATGATTACAACTCCGGCTCCGCTGCCCTGCTGATTGGATGATCCATCACAGTACAACTACCAAACGTCACCAACATAAATTCTCCAGTTCGGCTTCGGTCAAATCTCATCGGACTTGAAATCAGCAAGACCCCCAGTGAATTCGGCAACAAAGTCGGCAAGCACCTGTCCCTTGATTGAGGTTTTAGGTAGAAACTGAATGTCGTATTGGCCGAGTTCAAGTGCCCACTTTGAAACACGTCCTGATGCTTCTGCACTTCATAGTACTGATCGGAGAGGATAATCTGTTAGCACCCCAATGCTATGTCCCTGGAAGTAATGCATCAGTTTTCTTGCTGCCATGACTAGGGCTAGGATGAGTTTTCCCAGCCGAAGGCAGCGTGTTTTGGCGTCAACCATTGCCTTGCTCACATAATACACTGGCCGCTGCTCCCCCAGCTCTTCTTTTATCAGTACGGCGCTGACGGCCCTGTCAGAAATTGCCAGATACAAAATGAGTGGGTCACCAGCAGCAGGTGTTGTCAAGAGTGGTACTGAGCGGAGGTAGGTCTTAAGGCCGTTGAAAGCGGCTTCGCATTCGGCGGTCCATTCAAAAGCCTTATCCTGTCGTAGTGTACGAAAGAATTGTCGGCAGCGATCTGTGGACCGACTGATGAACCTGTTTAGTGTGGCGGCCATCCCCATTAACTTCTGAGCTTCCTTGACCGATCGAGGGGAGCCGAGTTCTAGGATTGCTATGATTTGCCTTGGGTGGCTTCGATTCCTCGGTGGTTGACAATGTACCCCAAGAATTTACCAGAGCCGATCCCAAACGCACATTTGGAAGCATTCAGCTTCATTTTGTATTTGCGTAAGATGCCGAACGTCTCTTTTAGATCGGCTAGATGGGTTTTCTCTTCTCTGGACTTGACCACCATGTCATCGATGTACACTTCCATAGTGCGGCCGAGTTGCTCTTTGAACATAGTTGTGACCAGTCTTTGGTAAGTTGCCCCTGCATTCTTCAGCCCAAAAGGCATAACCTTATAGTAGTAGGTTCCTCTTGGGGTGAGGAATGCAGTTTTTTCTTGGTCTTCAGGATGTATGGCGATCTGATGGTAGCCTCTGTAAGCATCGAGGAAGCTCATACGCTGATGGCGTGCCGTCGCATCTACAAGCTGGTCAATTCTAGGTAGGGGAAAACAATCCTTGGGGTAGGCTTTGTTCAAGTCCGTGAAATCGATGCACACTCGCCAAGTCCCATTTTTCTTCTTCACCACCACAGTATTAGAGAGCCATGTAGG